AAGTGATTTGTTGTTCTTACCTCTTCCTAGCTTGATGTTACAGTGAGAGAAGAGAGACAGACCCTATCATATTGTTTTATACTGAGAAAAGGAAAGAGAAGTGAAACTAAAGGCAGGTAGCCTGGCGCCTAGGGACCAGACCCAAAACCAAGGAACCAGACTGAAACCAGGCCTGGGCCTGCCTGACCTAAGCCTGGTAGTTAAAGATCGACCCCTGACCGCATTGTAAAACTTCCGGTCTGTTCTCACTGACCACCGGTGCATGCAGCCCCTGTCACATACCCCCTGCTTGCTCGATCGATCACTACCCTCTCACGTGGACCCCCTTAGAGTTGTGAGCCCTTAAAAGGGACAGGAATTGCTCACTTGGAGAGCTTGGCTCTTGAGACAGGAGTCTTGCCGACGCTCCCGGCCAAATAAACTCCTTCCTTCTTTAACTGGGTGTCTGAGGAGTTTTCGTCAGCGGCTCATTCTGCTACAACAGAAGAATAATTATTTGCAAATATGAAGATCAAAACTTTATATTTATTCTAGGTTTCTTTCTATCCTTCGGAAATACGGTTAGGCATGTCTTCCCCAACTGGTCACTATTTACTCAAGTGCTGACAAAGCATGCCAATTGCTCCCCCGACTACTGCCATTAGGTTCTGAGTTGAAATCATTAAAGAGTACAAGACATTTAGTTTAAAAATGCTATGTATTAATTTAAGGTCTGTAATACTATTTAAGATAAACAACAGCCTCAGTTTCCTTCAGTACACCCTCAGTGTTTGACTAGTAGTATTTGCATCAAAAAGCATTAAAAATAAAACAACACGTTATAATGTTGAAGACTACCATTCATAATGAAAATGTACCTATTATTAATACTTGCTTACCAAATAATATATCAACAATTTTTGTAAAGGAGAAACTATAGGAGATGTGAGAATAAACAGACAAAACACATTAATATTGGAGATTTTTAACAGATCTCTCAGAATCCAAGAAAATGAAGATAACTAATATTACTACAGATGTGAAAGACATAAATAACCTAATCAATAAGGCAGATCTCATAGATATCTATCAAATTCTATATACTATTAAGAGGAAATACCTTCTTTCAAGTTGCATGTTGAATTTTTACAAAAGTGACATTTTAGGCCACAAAGAAGATCTCAATAATCCAAAGAATAGAAATATACAAACAGCATTCTCTGACTACATAATTTAAAATCAGACATTAATTTAAAGCAATCAAAAGTAAAAAGGGCACTTTCTCTTGGAAATTCATAGTCAGAAATTTTAGGATACAGCTAAAGCAGTTACCATAACAATAAACATGAAAAATATAACAACTAAATATCCAATTTCCAAAGCTAATAAACAAAAAAAGTGGAATGAAAAAAGCTGATAATGTTAAAAACAAAAATTAATGAGTTAGAAAACAGAACAGTAGGGTTAATTAGTAAATGCAGAAGTTAAAAACCAACAAAGAAAAATACTAATTAAAACAATACATGAAAAAGGTAGAAAGCACAAGTATACATAGAATTAACAATAAAAATAGAAGAATAGACTCCCTTCGGAATTTCTACCAAATTTTTAAAGACCAGATCCAAATGCTACTTAAAATATCCCAGTGCATAGAAAACTAAGGAAAACTTTTTTCTTTGTTATATTAGAAATATATATTTTCTAATTTGAGTATATTACAATCAAAAAAGAAAAACACATCAGTTTCACTATGAATTTTGATGACAAAAACTAAAAAAAAAAAAAACAAAATTAACAAAGAAAGCCCAAGAGCATATTAAAAACGGATTCATCATGACCAAGTAGGGTTTATTCCAGGAATGCTTAGTGGGTCAATATTATAAAATCTATTCATATAAGCCATTAAATAAGTAGAGGAGAAAAATTATATTACCATCTTCAAAGATAGGGAAAATGCATCTGAAAACAATTTAGCACTTGTTTATATTTTCTAAAATTTCCCAATATAATAGGAATTAATAGATATTTCCTATCAATATGCAATATATATTATATAATGATACATGTATACACACATACACACACACACACACACACACACAAATTTCCATCTCAAAGCCAACATCTTACTTGATGGAGAAATGAAAGACAATTTCCTGCTTAAATCAGGAACAAAAAGACGTAAGTTGTCCCCATCTGACTGAATATCATGTTGGAAATATTAGCAATTGAAATGAATAAACAATTGGAAATATAATAATTGGAAAAGAAAAGGCAAAATGATATCTAATGTAGGTGATATGATTAAATGTCTAGAAAATCTAAAGAAACACTTGGAAAAAGACAACAGAATAAGAAAATTCCCTATCCCATCTTTATCCTGCTCTTTTTGTGGACTTTTATGTGTTTTTAGCACTACCAGTAAGTCAAGTTAAAAACTATGGTGTCATAATAATAACACTAATTTCATTTGTGTGTTCACAATCTGCATTCACTCTGTGCTTTGCAGACCCCCAACTCTTAATTTAGGCAGTTGCTAAGTTACACGGGGTTTGTTTCTGAAATGCCCCTCCTATCAGTCTTCCTTTTGGGGTCCAATCACTCACTCTCCACATATAGCTGGTAAATGGTTGTCTGTGTAGCGATGCTTGTTTTATATGTAATTTCTCTGATATAAAGTCAACTTCTTGACCTGGTTTTCTACCATAATTCATCTTTCCAGGCTTATTTCTGCCTATTCTTTTATACATGCATTGTTTATCAGGACCAGCGTGAGTATTTCTTAGATATACCCGTACTTGCAGTTCGACAACAAGAATTATTTCCCTAAAACATGCTACAATAATAACGTGTATTGTTGAGGCTTTGTGTTAAATAACTTGCACACTGCGTTGTCCCACATTACCACAGCTGTGATTCCTTCCTCCTTTGCTATGTAACTGCCCACGGTATTTTTTTGTTTTACATTTCAGATTTCTGTTTTTATTGTATTAACTCTACCTGATTATATACTTTGAGTGTAGAAAGTGATCAGTACAATCTCTGTATCACTTGCAGTAGAGATGGCATTCAATACAAATCTTTTTTTTTTTTTTTTAAATAGACTGTGCCAGCCTGGAAGTTAAAAACTAAGATTTTAAACGCAACTAAGGATCTCTCTTTAGTCTCTATTTTATCGATTTTTCATTAGTTGGCTCTATTCCATTTGAGCAGGGAGTTTGCCTTATTAGTGCTGTATTCTCAAGACTTAGAACTATTCTTGGTACACGGTAGGCACTTAGTAATAATCCTACCTGTATGGTTATACAAAAATTAATTGAATGGTAATGAATAATGCAAAGAAGCGAAAGCTTACCAAGAGACAACATAAGCCAGTATCAAGATCAAATCTTCACAATTTTCTGGTTTGTTCCTGATGACATTCTAGGACAGATGTTTTTGTTTTGGTTTATGGACTGAAATTTTTAAAAAAATTTATTTCAGCAGACCCTCTGAATCCATTTTTACAAATATCTTTAGCTGTGAAAGGAACGAAGGTTTTGGCAGATAGTATCATCAGAGTCAGGACTGGCTCGGTTTGAACCCTAATGCACTTCAGGATATTGAAAATGTGATAAAATAATTGCATTATTTATTAATGACCTAACGAAATTCGAATACATTATGCTGTAGAGCAATTCCGCAGCCATTATCTCCTTTGCTCCCAAGAACCCAGAAAGGTTATCCTTTTATTTATCAGAAATCACCATGTTAAAATTAAAATACTTCGGATTGGTAGTCTCAACCCTTATCTTCTACAACATCTTTAGCTATCCATAGAAAGCAAAGCATTAATAGGAATTGGACTGACGTTGGAGATGGAAATACTGTTGCACGTGACAGCTGTAAGGACTTGGGCGGCCAATTCCCCACTCCCCATTCCTCCCCAGATCCTCCAAAAAAAGCTCAAGTCCTAACTTTGACCAGGTTTGACAAAGAAGGGAGAGGCAGAGGCGTTTTGTAAAGTGCTGCTCCCAAACGCCACCCATCAGGACAGATTCTAAACCACCTTAACTTGCTGCCGGTTTCAACTGAAAATAAATAGTACATAGTAATCAAGAAGTCGCCGTCCCAGACCTCTGATCAAAGAACCGAAAAACAACAGCGAACGACCCGTTCCCGATTCTCTGAACCGAAGAGTAGGAGAAGCTGTTTAGGAGGGGGTGGGTCTTCCGCGACAAACCCCGCCCCTCCCTCGCTCGTCGCTGATTGGTGGCGGCGTTAGGCCGCGACGGAGGGGCGGGCTCGCGGCTGGGTCGCTCCCTTTCCGCGCGGTCCCGTGCGCGCTGTGGGTGTGTCTCGGGAAGCGGGCGCGTGCGCGCTCGCGTCGGAGGACCGGAAAGGAGGCGGGGCCGCGGCGGCGCGCGCTCCCGGATCGCGCGCACCGCAGACGGCGCGGATCGCAGGGAGCCGGTCCGCCGCCGGAACGGGAGCGTGAGTGTGCGTGTGGAGCCGGGACTCGTGGGAGACGGTCGCGATGAACACGGTGTTGTCGCGGGCGAACTCGCTGTTCGCCTTCTCGCTGAGCGTGATGGCGGCGCTCACCTTCGGCTGCTTCATCACCACCGCCTTCAAAGACAGGAGCGTCCCGGTGCGGCTGCACGTCTCGCGGATCATGCTGTGAGTGCGGCCGAGGCCGGGCCGGCGGTGCAGAACGCCGGGACCGGGCCGGGGCGGAAGCCGAAGCCGGGCCGCCGCGCCGGGGCTGCAGTGCCGGGGCCGCAGGCAGGGCATCCGGGTCGCCCTCCTGAGCGGCCGTTCGCCCCCGAGGGCGGTCGTCAGGGGTGGACGTCGCGGGCTTTTCCGGCGTCCCCTCGGAACTTGCACCCCTCCACAGTAAATTCCCGGGCTTGCTCTTAAATTTTAATTTTGAGCGTTCCTCAGGTCGGTGCCTCCGTTTGCTTCCTGTTCCTCACTTCCCTCCACCCACGCCTGGCCAATGAGGGAGCAACACAACAGCAGAGCCGGCGCCGCCGCCCGCCTGGGCTGGCGCCTCCCGCGCGTCCGGGGCCGCTCGTGGTCCGCACGCGAGGCCCGCCAGGCGCTGCCGCCACGCTCTGGGTCCGGCTTCCGTGGGGTTTCCCGGCGGCTCTGGAGGCCACAGGACGGGGTTGTCTTTGTGTCATTCATCACCCGAGTTTGCCCTGTTTGACATTCTCTTTACAGTTGTTGCCTTTGCATCTTCAGAAGGCAGTAAACACTTGCAGCTGCTTTGAAGTTGGCCAGAGATATTGGGCACTGAGGGAATTAAGCATCTTAGCCATCTGATACAGCGGGATTTTTGTTTCGTTGGGTTTCTTTTGTTGTTGTTGTTGTTTTGTTTTTTTTTTTTAATTTTTTGGCCAACCACTTGAAGAAATCTGCGAAAACGCCGAAAAATGCAATTCGAAATGACAGGGCCATTTCGCTATTGCCTATTTTGTCCTTGATTTTATTCTCTGGCACTTTTGTCTTTAATCCTCGTATTTTTTCCCCTCTTATTCTCATACCCTTCTCTATTCCATCTTCCAACAAGTTCTTTAACCTTAGTTTATTTCTTTGTCAGAATCGCCAAGAAGCCAGTCATCAAATAGCCAGCCTTCTCCCCCACCTTTTTTTTTTTTTTTTAATTACTGTACTGATGTTTGTTAGATATTGTTCGAATAGACCTGGGGTGGAAATCAGCACTGCCACTGTCAGCCCTGTGAGGTTAGAAGAGCTTGGTGCATATTAAACACTGAACAGATGTTAGCTTGTCTTGAGCAAGTTTCTTACTATTCTGGGACTTAATTTCTTTTTAAGATGGAAGTAATACCTAATTGGTAGGTTGTGAGAATTATTTGAAATGTGAAAAATATTATCAGTGGGTCTGACCCGTAGTAAACAGTAAATAGCAGCTGGTTACAGTAGTATCCCCTTAATGGGGTAAGTATACGTTCCAAGACCCCCAGTGGATAGCACCAAATCCTAGTATACTTGGTTTTTTCCTATGATAAAACTTACAAATTAAGCACAATAAGAGATTCACAATAACATAATCGTTAACAACTGTAACAATATACTTAATAAAAGTTATGTGAATATGATCTCTTTCCCTTTCTCTCAAAATAACTTACTTTACTGGACTCACCTATTTTCACACTGGGTTGACCGCGGATAATTGAAACCGAAAAGTGAAATCTCTGATAAGGGGTTGATTACTGTATCATCCCTTAATATGCCATCTGTTATTATTCCATATCACCTTGTAGTCCTGTGTAGTTTCTTCTACCCATTATGCACAATTGCTTTACATCAAGTATTTACTATTCTTTTTAGCAGTTTTTATCTCCCTCTGAGTTTTGTTAGGGATTCTCTTAAGTTACATGCAATTAGCTGAAGACTTACTTTCATATTGGATTAGAATGTTTCTCCTGTTTTCACGCTTACAGGTTTCTCTGGTGTTTACTTGTTTCTTTGTGGGATTGCTGTTTCACCTGTGCACACACCTGTATTCTTTCTCTTTAAGAAGTTACGTGAATTTTGTATGTTCTGTTGGATGGTAAAACTTTTATCTTTACTTCTAGAAAAAATGTAGAAGATTTCACTGGACCTAGAGAAAGAAGTGATCTGGGATTTATCACATTTGATATAACTGCTGATATCCTTTAAGAAAATATTTCATTACTTTTTCTATAGTTTTATAATGAGATATGTGTTGTTTAATGATTTGGATGACTATCTCATTGAATCAGCCAAACCTTGGAAATTCCTGTGCCTTTTTCATCAGTAAAATAATGTTAATACCTCCCCATCACACTTTGAGAAAACTTCATAGATTCATGAGTAGTTGTGTGAATGTACTTTAAATTCTTAACCGAAACATTAAATTGATTGAAAGCTACGTAAGAAAGTTTGAATCTGTTTTTTAGAAAGAAAAAATAAAATTAGATCATTTGGATAAGAAGGAAAAATATTACCAGTGCTCAGCCTGCCTATAGATATTTCATGTACAATTTCAAATAATATATCCATATGTTATTATAGCAGAGAGAAACATATGTTTAAAAAGTGAATTACGTCTGTTACGATTTGAAAGGGTCATATCAAAATTATTGGTAAACTGGTTGCTTTTTGCCATCATAACTCTTTTTATAAGGAATTTTATAAAAGAAAATATTAACAATTGTAAGAGTTTCTTTGGTGGTGATATTTAAATGTTTTCTCTTGACGTTGAATTTCTGTCTTTTGACAGCTCTGATCATTTTGGCCAGGCTAGTCTTTTTTAGGGTCTTAGGTTAATATCTTGGCAATGTTCTCTGCCATTTCTAGCCTGATCTCACCTGCCTTTTTAATACCCCATGATTTAAATGGTTGTGGAGATTGAACAGTCTAAACTTGTGTGAAAGTACCTGTCTGAACAGTTAAAGCTGATCATACACTTGGGGAATTTATCTAATTTGCCTTTCTATGACCATGAAATTTACTTTCAGCTTAAGTTTTAACAATTGTCAGATTTAGAAATAGGCTAAGAATTAGTTCTGTAGGTACCTTTTTAGGAAATAGAGTGTACCATTGGAAGAGTCTTATGCTAAATTTCATGTGTATTTTTAAGTCTGTGTGATTTTTAAAAATCTGCTCAAGGGAATTTAGGTCTACTGTGAGAGTAGTAATTTTGTGTATCCAGAGAAGTATAGTGAAATTTCCTGATACCTATGGTCTTTATATATTACCAGTCTCATTATTTGTAGTTTCTTCAGATTTTCTTAATGCTGCTGCTACTACTTTAAATTGTACTTGTTCTTGTAAACAGCAGTCCTAGACTTAGTTCTAAAGGAGTGATTCTTAGTGGTTACACATAATTAATAATGGAATGCAACAAATGTGTTACTAACAGTGTGGAAACTCATATAGTAAAATGAGTTAACTTAACAATTAACATAATACTTAAAAATCCAAATATTAACTCCGCTTATTTCTTGGTATTGGCACCAGTCTTGTTAATTCTGGTGATGTTCTTGTCCTCTTTGGGAAACTGAATTGAGCCACATTGGTGACATTTGCATCTTTGAGAGACAATGTCTACTTGCATGTGACCAAAAGTGACATGTACAATTTATTATACTTGGTTAATTATTGAGCCTTGTTTATGTTTGCATATTGTTAAATTTAAATAGTGGTGATTGTTTATACTTTAGAGCACCAGTGGAATTGTATTTGCTTGAAATATCAAGTGCTCCTTTTTTTTTTTTTTTTTTTTTTTTAAACTTAGTTGATGTTACAGAAAACCAAATTTTGGATTTGTTCTTTTCTTACTAGTCGAAGTATCTCAGCTGGTAATCGTTGGAGGAGTACGGGAGGATGCCAGTAATCTCATACTCAGGTTTTTTTGTTTTGGAATAAGGTGGATTTCACAATGTATTTGTCTTCTGCATATTTTTATTAAATTAGTGGCACATTATGTTTCTGGGCCACCTCTCTCTTTTCTACTTCAGTATTACTGTTATGGATAAATAACCTAAGAATAATTAAGATCTATTTAAAAGTGATATACTGCTCATAAATTTATATTTTCCTTAATTTACTTACATCTAGAGAATATATTTGATTGGAATGTTAAGCAGTTGTTTCTTTATTTATCAGCAGAATATTCAACAAAAAATAATGTAAGTATATCTAATTAGAAGTATTTTAATAGCTATTTAAAGCCTTATTCTTTATGAAAGAATACACATTTTATGTATTTAAAATACCTGACCTGAGTTACCTAGCAAAAAATCACAAGCCTGTGGTGGTAACTCTGTTAAAAAAAAAGGTCTTTTGGGAGCCTCTTTTTGTTTTTGTTTTTGTTTTTCTGTTTGTTCTATATAGCTCTCTAGCATTGGGGTCTCCAGAATGGGGTCCATGCAAAGAAATATATGTATGTAAGGAAAACAGTTAGGAGCTTCTATTAATATGTTAATTTGAAGTAAAAACAGTTAAGCTTTACTAATACTTGCTATATGAACTGATGTTAATATTCGTATTCAGCCCTTAAGTCAGATAAATGGGCACGTGCCTTCTACAATATGCAGGTATTCCGGAGGAAAGGAGGAATTCTGTAGGTCAAGAAGTTCACCATGTTACCTAGCATTTATTCATTTGTTTTCAGCATGTTGCAAAATATTGCAGTATATGCAATACATAAGTGGATTCTATTATCTAATTTTAGCTAATTCTTTCAAAATGGAAAAGTGGCTTAAAAAGATTTCTGCAAAGAAATCACAGATTGAAGATGATGCTAATAATCCATACATATGTAAACAGTAGGAAGATGGTGAAGCTCATACTTGTATTCTTCTTCTGAGCTGCTCTGTCACACTGAAGGATAAAAAAAACACAAAGAAAACCTAAATAGATCTGATAAGTTGGCTGAGACACTGTCAATGGTATTAATTAATAATAGTACATATGTAGTACCTACATAATTTATAACAACACATATTTCGAGGATTTGTGATCCAAAAACTATTGGAGACCACTTTCTATAGTAAGATCAGAAAGATATTGCTGAACTATCAACTAGGAAATGGAGCGGGTAGCCAGTAGTATTGCCACTCAGCTGTATACTCTTTTTTTTTTTTTTTTGAGACGAAGTCCCGCTCTTGTAGCCCAGGCTGGAGTGCAGTGGCACCATCGATCTCAGCTCACTGCAGCTTCCGCCTCCTGGATTCAAGCAGTTCTCCTGCCTCAGCCTACCCAGTAGCTGCGATTACAGGCGCCTGCCACCATGCCCAGCTAATTTTTGTATTTTTAGTACAGACAGGGTTTCACCATGTTGGCCAGGCTGGTCTTGAACTCTAACCTCAGGTCATCCGCATGCCTTGTCCTTCCAAAGTGCGGGGATTACGGGCATGAGCTACTGCGC